ATCTATTATCTATATATCTAATCTATCATCTATATTATCTAGATCTAGGTATCTATATTAGGAGTCCCCAACCTTGGTGACTTTAAGCCTGGGGGACTTCAACTCCCAGAATTCCCCAGCCAACTGGCTGGGGAATTCTGGGAGTTGAAGTCTGCTAGGCTTAAAGTTGTCACAGTTGGGGACCCCTGATTAATATTATCTATATCTAATGTATCGTCTATATTATCTATATCACTCATCTACCTACTTACCTACCTACCTCCGATATATCTCATCTATGTTTGTATGTGTACATGTGTAAATAAAAACCGGCAGGTGGGCAACCTTGCACCAGTCCCCCCCTTCAACCGTGTCCACCCTCACAGGGTCGTTGTTCTTGTTGGGAAGACAACAGACGTCCTGCATGCGCATCACGAATTGCACAAAACCAAGACAGGAGGACCTCTTGGCATTTTTGCAGCTGGCCGAGCGGCGGCGGCAACAGCCATGAACGCCATCGTGGTGCTGTGCCACTTCTGTGAGCTGCACGGCCCTCGCACCCTCTTCTGCACGGAGGTCTTGCATGCCCCTTTGCCGCAGGGCCCGCCGGGGGGAGACAGCCCCGGGCAGAGCGAACAGGTGGAGGATGAGGAAGGCGGCATTCAGATGAGCAGCAGGATTCGCTCCCACAGCCCGGCCGATGGCGCCAGCGTGGACTCCAGCAGCCCGGGCCCCAAGAAATCGGACATGTGCGAGGCAAGTGGGTTCTCTCTGCCCCCCGAAGTCCCCCCTCCCCTCTGCAGGAGCCCCTGTGCCATCCGTTGATCCAAATTGGCTTTTTGAGTGACAGCTTGCAATTGATGGTTGTTTCTCCCTTAAGGACATTACTTCCCGTTGCTTTAGTCCAAGTTTCTCAACCTGTCCCGTTACTAGAAGTTGGGTGGACTTCAACTCCCAGAATTCCCTAGCCAGGCATGCAGTCATGTGACCACAATTATTCACACTTTGACTTCAGTTTCTGGAATTCATCGTGCTTCCTAGTGTTTATTTCTTATTAACTTTTTTTAATTTCCCCTCCACCTCTTAGGGTTGTCGTTCCCTTCCTGTCGGCCATCCAGGCTACATCAGCCACGACAAGGAAACGTCAATCAAATACATCAGCCACCAGCACCCCAACCATCCTCAGCTCTTCAGCATTGTGCGCCAGGCTTGTGTGCGCAGCCTCAGCTGTGAAGTAAGCTGGCTGGGTTGGGTTGCTGTTTTGTTTATTTCTATTTTTATCATCCTGCCTTTGGTATTTTCATAAACAGCTCAAGGCGGTGAACATACCGAATACTCCTTCCTCTTCCCGTTTTCCCCAAACAACAGTTCTGTCAGGTGAGTTGGGCTGACAGTCATGCCTAGCTGGACTAGAACTCACCGTCTCCTGCTTTCTAGCCAGGTGCCTCAACCACTGGATCCAACTGAACCTCTTCGCCAACTCAGAAGGGTTCTTGCCAAATTTTGCAGGAAAATTCCCTGTTTCTTGGCTTTGCTGTTCACTGGTTAACTACCGTGGCTAGTTTGCATCTTTTTAACATTATTTTTTTTAAACGTCACTTTGTTTTTTATAGTTTTGGAATTGTAAGCTGCGTAAAGTCCTGGACTGAGGCGGGCAGCTCTAGAAACTGAATACATAAATAGAAATAAGATTAATGGCAGAAGCTAAGATGGAAGGAGACTTGAAGGTTGCAGGGCTCCCTCTGTTTCGAGAAGAGATGCCACCATGGGTGCTTTTAATTTGCCTTTTATCCAAACGGTTTTGAGAGGGGGAGGGGGTCGCAGACAGGCTGTGCCTCAGAATTTCTGGTGCCCACCATGGCTTTGACGGAGTTTGGCTCTTTTTGTTTTTGTTTTTGTCAAAGGTCTGTCCCGGACGGGAAGGTCCCATCTTCTTCGGCGATGAGCAGCACGGTTTCGTCTTCAGCCACACTTTTTTCATCAAGGACAGCCTGGCTCGGGGCTTCCAGCGCTGGTACAGCATCATCACCATCATGATGGACCGTATCTACCTCATCAACTCGTGGCCTTTCCTCCTGGGCAAGATCCGGGGCATCGTGGACGAGCTGCAGGGCAAAGCTCTGAAGGTCTGGGCAGCAGACTGGGAGGGAAATCAAAGACGTTTGAGAATCATAGGGCAGAAAGGGACCTTGGAGGTCCTCTAGTCCGACCCCAGCCCAAGGCAGGAATCCACATACCATTCTGGCTGTCCAGTCTCTTCTTGAAAACCTCCAGTGATGGACCACCCACAACTTCTGGAGGGAAGTCAATCCACTGATTAATTGTCCTCACTGTTAGGAAATTTCTCCTTAATTCCATGTTGCTTCTCTCCTTGATTAATTTCCATACGTTGCTTCTTGTCCTGCCTTTAGGTGGAGAATAGGATGACTCCCCTTCTC